AGAATGTACCTCTAAAAAAGTGACTTTTTAAAAACAAAACGGGGACTTCCCTGGTGGTGCAGTGGTTAAGAATATGCCTACCAATGCAGGGGATATGGGTTCGAGCCCTGGTCCGGGAAGATCCCACATGCCGTGGAGCAACGAAGCCCCTGTGCCATAACTACTGAGCCCACGTGCCACAACTACTGAAGCCCGCGTGCCTAGAGCCCGCGCACCGCAGCGAAGAGGAGACCCCGCTCGCGGCAGCTAGAGAAAGGCTGTGCACGTCAGCGAAGACCCAACACAGCCAAAAATAAAAACAGAAACAAAAAGAAACCCTGCAAAATCATGATCACACCTAAAAAGTTAACAGTATTTCCTTAATGTCATCCAATATCACATAGGTTCATAAAATATTTTATTTGGCCTTTCAGTTGACTGGTTTCAATCAGGATCCAGGCGAAGACCACACATCACGTCCAGTAGATAGGTACCTCACGACTTCTGAAATCTACAGTTTCCCCTCACCCTTTTTCCATGCATTTATTAAAGAAACTGGGTATTTGTCCTTCGGGATGTCCCATATTCTGGATGTTGCTGGTCACATCCCTATGCTATCCTCTGAGTGTGCTTCTGTCCCCTGTATTTCCTGCAAAGTGGTAGTTAGATCTAGAGACTTGCTCAGACTTGAGTTATCGGTTCACATTTATGCAAAGTGTTTTAGTAAATCGTGTCGCACTCCAGCGGAAGAACCGCGGACACATAATGCTGTGGCCCTTCTCGAAGCTCACTGGGCAGTATTTCTCAAACAGCCTTGGGGGCTTCCCTGGTGGCGCAGTGGTTGAGAGTCCCCACAGGTTCGTGCCCCGGGCAGGGAAGATCCCACATGCCGCGGAGCGGCTGGGCCCGTGAGCCATGGCCGCTGAGCCTGAGTGTCCGGAGCCTGTGCTCCGCAACGGGAGAGGCCAAGACGGTGAGAGGTCCGCGTACCGCAAAAAAAACACAAAAAAACAGTCTTGGTGGGAGGCTTTATCCCTATGGACCTCCGAGCCTCTGCACTTCCTGGAGGTAGTCGGGAAGGGAGGGAGCTTACGTGTGCCAGGCAGGGGATAAGCTCTGTAGCTATGGCACAGACCAAGACGGACCTGGTCCTGGACCACAAGGGATGTACTGTGGCGGTGGGGAGAGCGGCCAGAGCTGGCAGATGAGTCAGTGAGATCCCTACAATCTGTGGTCTGTGCCCGGAAGGACACAAATAGGAGGCGGAGATATAAATGGGGGCCAGGCGTGAGGGAAGGGAGGAGGAGGGGCCAGCCAGCGGAGCCTGCACTGGATGGATGGAGGAGGCTCCCTTAGAAGGTGTTACTTCAGTTGAGCCCTGGAAGAGGCGAGAAAGAGCCCGTTATATGGGTGCAGGAGGTGGGGAAGAGGGGTGCTGGTGGTCGCAGGGATGGAGAAAGTGCCGTATACTTTGGAGGCTGGACACACAGGACATGGGATGAGAAAGAGCAAGGAATCAAGGCCGCCTGCCAGGTTTCCTGGCTTAAGCAACTGGGTGAACAGCTGTTATGGCGACAGCCCTCGGCAGCTGGACAGGCGGCTGCGTGACTCTTTCTGTGGTCCCCCGTCTAGTCCCTTTGGAGATGGTGTTACCGACCTGGGTCTTTCGATTCTTTTTTTTTTTTTTTTTGCGGTACGCGGGCCTCTCACTGCTGTGGCCTCTCCCGTTGCGGAGCACAGGCTCCGGACACGCAGGCTCAGCGGCCATGGCTCACGGGCCCAGCCACTCCGCGGCATGTGGGATCCTCCCAGACCGGGGCACGAACCTGTGTCTCCTGCATCGGCAGGCGGACTCTCAACCACTGCGCCACCAGGGAAGCCCGGTCCTTGGATTCTTTAATCAATAGAAATTGATAAGAAGCCAGACAAGAAACTCAGGCAAGGCTTTACTGGGACTTGTGCTGCCCCTTGAGGGGTAAAAACAAGAAACAGGCGCCCTTGCTTGTTCTCAGAGGCGGACCGCGGTGAGCTGGTCCCTTAAATGGGGTGAGGGTGGGAGCGGATTGGTGGGTCGGGCCTGAGGGCTGGCTTAGGTGTCCTGCCCACCCCCTTGGTGGTGCTGTGTGCAGGGGGCATGTGCAATACCCTGCTTTTGCTCCAGGGACCTCAGAAGTGGCGATTGGTTTGTGGCCTTTTTGTATCGTATTGTTCATAATTTGTCCCAACTGCGCATGCACACAGTTATTTTTAGTCCCCTATAGTTCCTTTGTATTCTGTTGCTGGAGGAGACGTCTGTCCAGGTCCAAGTGCAAGCCCCCCGGTAGAGGGTCCCAGGTCCTAGCCTGTCTCAGTGGTACCCAGGTCTGTCCTCCGGACCTCCTAAGTGCCTTTTAGGCCCTTCCCTTTGTGCGCCTGCCCTTCTATTGAATTGCTTGACTTGAACAAGACGGAGAAAAGGAACCAGGCCAGTAGGAGTATCATGAGCTGGACAGATTTGTGAAATAAGCCTGGCACCCAAATGTAAAGGAATATCGTTCATCAAGTTGGCCATTAATTGTTACATTTGGAAAAAAGCAAAAAACTGAAAACGTTTACTAAGAAGTTTAGGAATCAAATGAAACTTCCGGGTGTTCTGTATATGACATCTTTCTTCGTTATCATAGACAAGTGAGTTGAATGTGCCATAAAACTGCCTGAAAAATAATTTTCCTACTAATACTAATGAGGGTTATCTGGTCTTTGTCCAAAGCATTTGCAGGCAGGGCATCATGCTTCTTGTCTAAAAACTCAATTCCTAAAGCATTCCTTGTGAAAATAGAAATTCCTGCGCCCAGTTTCTCAATAATGTAAGGCACCGGGAACATTTTCAAAATTGTTGGCCTGATTTAAATTTCACTGGAAAACAGCTTTTTAAAACCAAGTGTCTGTATGTGGCTTCCATGTGATCACTTCTCACTGGCAACTGGTAACTGCCAACTTCTGGTGGCTTGAGAAAGTGAGCCGTTTCCCACGCTCCCACACGGCAACCCAATCAGGATGTTTGTGCTGGGAGATGTTTGGATGGGGTGGAGGCGAAGCGGGCAGGAGACCAGCTGGACGAGGCTCCTTCCCTGACTCCCTTCTCTGCGGCCCGTCCGTGCATTCTAGAAACTCACTGCTGGTGCCAGGTGATGATGGAAAATATGTCACCTGAGCAGTTAACAGACAGTGACACTTGGTAAAAAGGAAGGATCTTGCTAGGTCCACACTTAACTCTCAAACCTGTTCTTTCCCCTTCTCGGGGCCCAAATTGGCTCCAACACATCGAAGCTTTTTACCTGGTTCTTGGCATGTTGTAGAGTTTGGTCTCAAGTTCCTTTCCTTCTTGTCGGCCGCTGTCCCCCTTTCTATAGGAATGAGGTCTGAAGTGACTGAAGGATAAGGCCGTGGGAAGGATGAGTAAGTGACCTGGAAAACCCACAGGCCTTCTCATGAACTCCTGAACAATTGTAACTCCCTTTGCTGCTGTGTTCTTCCAATCTGTAGCCTCTTGAAGCTCAAACTAGGGCCATATGCAAAGTCGCTCCCATTGGATTTAGGGATTTTTTTGTTTTTAATTCATAGACTCCAGAAGTAAAAAGATCACTGGCGTGTTGTTCCCTGTCACCAGTGGACTGTGCGCTAACAAGGATGTGGGAAGGGCTCAAAGCCTCATTCTAAGCATGGCTTTGCAGGAGGCCCAAGCACGCCCACTGCCAGGGGGCTGTAGTCCCTTCCCCATTTTCCCAGGGAATATGGGTTTTAGCTGGATAAGAACAGTGAAATCTTTTCATAGGCTCTAAACTGGTTTCAAGAAGTGATGACTGATAACTGGTTTCAAGAAGGCTGTACGTGTAGTGATTAAGAGGGCCGACTTTGAAGTCAGGCTCCTTGGGTTCAAATCCCGGTAAGGCCTCTGATTGGTAACTTTGGACAAATTGATGAACTTACCTCATTTTCCACCGCAGCAAAATGTGGATAATAGTAATAGCTAGTTTTACGGGGTTCTTCTGAGGATTAGATGTTAATAAGAGGTCTGGGACATGGTAAACATTCAATAAATGTTAGCTACTGATCTAATTCATTCATCTGTTCAAAATAACCCCACCATCGTGGCCCGTCACGTTTACTTCTTGACACTTGTTTGCTTATTGTCTTATCATCTGCTTGTGTAAAAGTCCATCTCCACGTCCTTCTGGATTGTGGGAGCCTTGAAGGCAGAGCCTGGGTTCTCCTTATTTGTGGACCCACAGTGCTTAGCACAGCCCTGGTTTGTAATGATTACTCTGTTGAGTAAATGAACACAGTCTTTGATGATGACTTAGGTTTGAATGGTCCTTCGTGTGCCACAAACCACACACGTGGGAAGCCTAAGATGCGAAGTTTAAGACCCTCGCCCAAGGTCTGCCGACTATGCCAGAGTCAGGTCCTGTGATTCTTGCCCCTGTTCCTTCTACCAGGCCGTCCTCCCTAGGAAAAGAATGCTGAGTTTTACAGTTCTGGATCATGTCTTTCTCCAGTGTTTTTGTATTTGACACACTCTCATGTTTGATACACTATGACAGCATCCTGTGAACGGGAACTCGGTCTCCCTAAAGAAGATGTCGTTTCTGCACATCTTTTTTTTTTTTTCCTTTCCTTTCTTTTTTCAACGAAAAAAGAGCTGAGATAGTTTTATCTTTACGTACTCTACAAGTGCAACTGTTGTGTACATTTGAGATTAATTGCAGTTAACGGAACTACACTGTTTTCCTCTTGAATCTCACGTAAATGAAATCATATACTGTGTACTGTTGTTGTGTCTGGATTCTTTTGCTTGGCTTAATATTTGTGAGATTCACTCATGTTGTTTTGTGTATTTTAAGAAATTACTCTATAGTATTCCATTGTATGAAATGGCCAGAATTTATTTACCTGTTCTCTTGTTGATGGGTATTTGGGTCGCTCCCAATTTTTGATTGTAAGTTTCTGCACTCCTTTTAATGATGTTTGGTTTTGTACAGATTACCACGAATGGCATTATTGCCATGAGTGAGCCCCCAGCCAAAGAATCCCATCCTGGGCTATTCCCACCGACCTTCGGAGCAGTCGCCCCTTTCCTGGCGGACTTGGACACGACAGATGGCCTTGGGAAGGTTTACTATCGGGAAGACTTATCTCCCTCTGTCACTCAGCTGGCAGCGGAGTGTGTCCAGAGAGGGTTCCCGGAAGTCTCTTTCAAGCCCAGTAGCGTGGTGGTTGTCACTTGGGAATCCGTGGCTCCCTACCAAGGGCCCAGCAAGGACCCTGCCCAGGAAGGCAAGGTAAGCACCCACCCAGGCTCAAGGGCAAATAGTCTAATATGTTGGCTTTGTACGCTTTGGTCTTCTGGTTTGTGCTACTCTGATGTACACCACGCCCATGTGATTGATAAAGGCTGGACAGACATCCAAAGCAAAATCTACTAAGCTGTTTATTGCAGGTCTGAAACTTCCAAAACCTTATCTGCAGGGCTACTTAAATCTATGCTGTAATGACGATTAGATGTAAAGAAAGCCAATTCCTGAGAAGATTGCCACGTGGCAAGAACAGGGCTGCGAAATTACAGCCCCAGCTGCTCTTACTTTGGGTGGTGGACAGTGGGAGGTGGCTTCTAGATAAATAGAGAATTTATTAATATGAAGTGATAGGTTAAACTAATAAAGCAGTCTCGAGAGATGTGAAGAAATAATGACCAGACCCACACTCTAGTTGGGGGGACAAAACCCATTTGTACCATGTGGGTGGTTCAGGAAACAAGTTTCGTCATAACCAGGGATGGGAGTCTCTGTGGATGCAGTGGTTGGGAAAGGTGTTAGGGTGTGTAGAGCTTGGACTTGCCCCTGAAGGAAGGGGGGAATATTTGAAGAAGCCATCTCTAGATCCGAGGTGACTCTTTAGGACATGCTTTGATTTCTCCTTGCAAAAATAAATTTGCTCCACCATTGTTTAATTTTTATAGCATTACAGGGTAGAGAGCAACTTGAAAGGTCCAAAAGCACTCCCTTTAAATGGGGGAATATTCCCAGCTGGTGGTTCTCAAAGTGTGTACCACAGAACACTGGTCCCCCAGACATTCCTTGAGGAAAAGGACTCCTCGGACCATATAAGTTTGGGAAGCGCTAAAACTATTATCTCCCTCATGGTGACTCACTCTGGAAAGTCCTATAGTACAGAAACCTGCTTAATTTTGTTTAATTTAGCCATCCCCAAACCTTTTGGCCCTACCCTTTTCCCTCCCAAATAAGACACATTGCATCCCATAGAGCACACTTTGGAGAAGTCTGTCTGACACGTTTTGCTTTGCCACCTGTATCTGCCTGAGTGCTGTACTTGAAAACTGTTTAAAGCCTTCAATTTCTCGAGTGTGCATCCTTTTCACTTGAGTGATACCTGCCCAGCCCCTTGTACAGAGCTCTTGCCTGCTTCACGGGCCAAATCTCCCCTCACTCTTACTTCTCCGCACCCTCTTGCAGCAGCTGTATCAGATTATTTGCAATTCCCTGCTGAGGCTTTTTGCTTGTTTGTTTTACCCACAGTCTCTTGCACTAGCTGTGCACTTTGCTTGCGATGGCCTCTCCCTGACCCTCACTGCACGTGTCTAGCTCCTGCTTGTTCTTTCCGCCTCCTCTGCCCCCACTCCTCCCAGCATCGGGCACTTCGCCTGCACACAGCTCCATTACAGAATCTATCCTCCAGTTTGGCAATGTTTTGTTCACATGTCAATTTTCCCACCTAGACTATAAATTCTGAAGTGCGGCGATCCCGTACTTTTATTCGTCTTCACAGTGCTCAGGACAATGCCTGGTGCGTAGGAGAGGTACTAACATTAGGAATATTTTCTCTGTGCCTGGCCCTTCATATGCTAGCTCACGTAGTCCTCCTAACATTTCTATGCGGTAGGTGGCTTTATCTCCATCTTACAGATTCACAGATCGAGGTTCAGAGAGGTTAGGTAACATGCCCAAGGTCACGCAGTCAGTGAGGAGTAGAGCAGGATTTGGATCCAGATTTGTTTTCTCTCAAAGCTCATTTTCTTTCTTACTGCACAGTGCTTGGGCTCAATCAGCTAAATAATGAATGTGGTTGAATATGTTTAATGGCTGTGGAAACAAATTCTGTGGGTAAGAATTTGCTAAGTTGCATGAGATTTAGGCCACTACCTGTAGGTGCCGTCTATAGTTTTTCATTAACCTTAGGGTCACGGTTATGCAGAAAGTATTCATTGATTAATTAGAAAATTTCATGTTGACATAGCTTTAGAGGTATTTAAGTGGAATTATCCTGGAATACTTGGTCCTACAAAAGTATTTCTTTAGAATAAGGTGTAAATACTGCCATCTCTGTATTTTATAGATATGATCTGGTGAAGAGCACATTTTAAGATCTGTAGATATTTTCCTGAGTAACTGAATTTTAACTCATCTTCACAGAGAAACACATTCCAGGCTGTTCTGGCCTCCTCTGATTCCAGCACCTACGCCATTTTCCTTTATCCTGAAGATGGTCTGCAGTTCTATACGACATTCTCAAAGAAGGATGAGAACCAAGTTCCCGCATTGGTTGCTTTCAGCCAAGGTTTAGTAGGATTAATGTGGAAGAGTGACGGAGCTTATAATGTATTTGCTAATGACAGAGAATCAATTGGAAACTTGGCCAAGTATGCTTTTTTTTTGTTCATCAGTAGATTCTTCCCTTAATAAGACTATCATGTCTATAAGTTTATAAGACTATTTAAAACAGTCTATAAGACCATTTTATTAAGAATAATGTAATGGGCAATATAGAACATTACCTAAAAATGTTTCCATGGATTTAAATTTTGTATATAATTTTTATATTATGGAGTACTTTGTTTTTCTGATGAACTCAAAGGAATATACTCTTAGAATGAACAGGTATCCAAGTTTTTAGATATCATTCTCATTTGAGACAGTTTTACCATCTCTTCTATACGTATAAAGTTAGAAATACAAGTTATTCAAAACTATGTTCTGCTGTGACCCCAAGGCTGAGAAAACCCCTCCCAATTTCATATTGCCGGTTGAGTCTAAAACTCCCCTACACTTTAATGGTGTGCTGGTAAATGCTTAGCAACTGGCTTTAGGCGGGTCGGGGAAGCCCTCATTTATAGCATTTGCCTGTTTCCGTGGTGTAAATACTCCTACCATGGCCAGTTTCCAGCAGCTCACATCATGTCGCTCAACCTGGGGTTGAGAAAAGGTGAACCATTATATCGTATTCTCACCACAGAGGTGCAGTAGATTCAAATAACTTGAAGAACATAGCTAATATGAGTTTCAAGTATTTATTCCCTCTGCTTTTATTTTTTTTAATTTTTATTGTAGTTGATTTACAATGTTGTGTTTCTGCTGTACAGCAGAGTGAATCAATTATACATATATATATCCACTCTTTTTTAGATTCTATTCCCATATAGGTCATTACAGAGTATTGAGTAGAGTTCCCTGTGCTATATAGTAGGTTCTTATTAGTTATCTATTTTATATATAGTAGTGTGTATATGTCAATCCCAATCTCCCAATTTATCCCTGTCCTTCCCCTTTGGTAACCATAAATTTGTTTTCTACCTCTGTGACTCTATTTCTGTTTTGCAAATAGGTTTATTTATTACTATTTTTTGTTTTTAGATTCCACATATAAGTGATATCATGTGATATTTGTCTTTCTCTGACTCACTTCGCTCAGTATGACAATCTCTAGGTCCGTCCACATCACTGCAAATGGCATTATTTTGTTCTTTTTTTATGATTGAGTAATATTCCATTGTATATATGTACCACATCTTCTTTATCCATTCATCTGTTGATGGACATTTAGGTTGCTTCCATGTCCTGGCTATTGTAAATAGTGCTGCAATGAACACTGGGGTATATGTATCTTTTTGATTGCCTCTCATTTTAATATAGATTATTTAATTGTAAGTTTATATACTTTAATTTTTTACCAGCTGGTTCAAGCAAGCTCCTGCATAGCACTGCCTTTATTTGAGTCCCAAGCAGACAGATTGATTAGACGTCCAATTTCTGCAGGACTTTCTTGATTCCTCATTCCCTGTCCAACCCCAATCTTTTGCTCAGTATTCTCTACCAAGTAGTGTGTGTCCCTTCTTTCCATTGCATGAGCTGGTCATTTTACATAATTTCTTATAGGAACACTTCCAATCACACACAGAAGAACAGTAAAAATGGTGGTGCAAGAAGTAGAGATTAGGGTTATTCTGTTGTATTTTATAACTATAAAATGCCTTTAGATTCTCAATATCATTTGTATTTCACTACACCCTTTTAACATAAAAAGGTAAACTGAGACCTGTCCAAGGTTCCACAGCTAACAGTGTTGGGATTTCTAATAAACCAACTCTGTACTATTTTCACTCATAACTCTTCTGACACCAAATTTGTGGGGTTTTTTTCCGCAACCAATTCTCCAACTCTTCAGACACCAGCTAGGTGTCCTGTAATTCGATTCAGTTCTGACACTAACTGCTTGGAGTCAGCACATACCTCACAGGTTAAGGGCTCAGTCCCACAAAACTGCCCCTACTTCAGACATCCCTTGCAAGTCCCAGGTTGCCACCTGCACTTCTGATCAACCAGCTATAAATCGGGGGTCTCCATGAAGCCCTGCTCAAGTTCGATAATGTGCTAGAATGGCTCACAGAACTCAGGAAAGCACTTTCCTTACTATTACCAGTGTGTTACAAAGGATACACTCAGGAGCAGCCAAATAGAAGAGATGCATAGGGCAAGGTATGGGAGGAAGAGTGGGTGAGGGGCTTCCGTGTCCCCTCTGGGCTCACCACCCTCCTAGCCCCTTGATGTGTTCACCAGCCCCAAGGTTCTGTCAATCTCATCACTTAGGAATTTTTATTACATAGGCGTGATTGATTAAACCGTTGGCCATTGGTGATTAACCTATTCTCCAACCCCACTCCTCACCCCCCTCCCTGGAAGTCAGGGCGTGGGTAAGAAAATTCCAGCCCTGTAATCAAGCCTTATTCTTTTTTTTTTTTTTTTTTTTTTGGGG